TTGTTAATGGAGCAATGAACTACCAGTGCCAGCTGCTCTGTTAAGTCTGTCTACCATCCTGACAAAGTACGGAGACATTACACATGTCATTACTCACGTTATCCGTGCTACACATATACGGTGACACTCTGACAGCTGAAGCCAGTGAGACTTTACCGTCGATCCAGCAGAATGACGGTTTCATGAGCCATTATCTTACTGACATCAAAGAGAATAACACTTTGGTTTTTTCCAGTGTGACACTTGACCTTCAAATAATCAGAGTAAAGACACCGCTGTTACAAAAGTTTAGCTTAATTGATGATAAAGTGAAACGACCTGGCTTTACAGTTCATGGATGTATCGCAAGCTCTCCAAAGAGCTGTGAAGCAAAAAGTAAAGGCTGATGGAGGCAAGAGGAACTACCCATGGGCTGTCTGAAGGCACACTGGATTCCCGGTGGAAACTGGTTGTCTTTGAACTGGCTGAGACACAGATAAAGGAGAAACAATCTCTTCCATGTGTCAATACTCCCGTGTCATTAAAGTCCTGTAAAGTTTGTACACAGCTGATCAAAGGAGGAAGGTGAGACAATGGAAGAAGGAAAGTGCAGTGAAAGCATGAAACTGAGATCCCAAAATTTGGCAGAGAAAAATTGGAGAGCTACAACTCTCGTACAGAGGAAATGCATCAGACCTCAAATGCATTTTCAGATTAGATTTTCCAGTAGTTTTATCAGTGGTATAAAGCCTTAAATATCAGTTCCTTCTGAAATGATTACCTTAGATGTTTTCTTTAGGTCATCAAAATAGCCTCCTACGTAGGATATGTTGGAAATAACTTTGAAAAATTCATTTATCCCAGTAGCTATTTCATAGTCTTGGTGGGCCAACATGCAGAGAAAGGTTTTTCCCTTCATGGACACCCCAGCAAAGACAAATCTTTCACCCACATGTTGTAGCCATTTTAAATTGAAAGGTCAACCCAAAATATTGAAGATTTAATCAGCTTGATGCCTTTGTCCGTTGCCAAATATAAACAAAAATGTAATAAAAATTACTACACTGAGAATAATAAATTGACCTCTCATCCAGAGGAGCTTCATGTTGTTGCAATGTTCCTGCTGTTTGATACACTACCAGTACAAATCATAACGCCATCAGGGTAAACTGGTGGCATGTAGGCCACCAATCCGTTAGCTATGGGTCATTGTAAAGGGGTGGCAAGAGATGTGGTCTTTCTAGAAATACACATTTGTGGATAAAATTCATTATTTGATTAAGATAAGGTCTCTAGGGTCTCTCAAGGATCAGGACCTCATTGTGTACAAACACCTTGCCTTTGTGCCCATGAGTTTATGGGACAAGGCAAAGAGGGGAGACATTTGGTGAACTGATGTCCCCATGGTCACATTAGGAGCTCAGAGGCAACCCATCCATTGCTGATATAGTGGTAAAATATGCACAGCACAGTCTTTCCTTCTGATTTGTATAAAATGAATCTATTTGATGGATCATCATGCTCTCTTAGGTGGGCATGATAAATAAATCCAGAAGCATTCAGTAAATATCCTCAGCTTCAGGGATTACCAACAGGGGAATCAATTATGTAAATGACTTGTGCCTTTAGTGTTAGATGTACATACTGAAACTCAAATCAGTCATCAAGAGAAAACTTTACCTTTCTCCTGAAATCTAGAAAGTTTTTTCACTTGATTGTAGGTTTAAGCCCTTTTTGCTGCTACATTTTTTGTGTAAACACTGTGAGTTTAGCCTTACTGATAACAAAGTTTTCTTTACCCAAGAAACTTGTATGACACAGAATAGCTTGGCAGGAAAAGGCCAAGCAACCAGTAAACTGGGAAGCAGAGGACTAGGAATGTTTCATTCGTTTAAGCCAACAATTACTGAAGCATGTGTCAAACTTGCTGCTTTAATTTAGCTTTCCCACACCGACACGAACAGTAGTAGAACCCTACCAAACCCTGGGGGGAAAAAGGGTTAGATGGAGGGAGGGGAGATTTCAGGTCTTGGGAGAAGGAGCTCAGACACCACGCAGAGCGGTGGGTCTCTGGACAGTCCTGAAGCTTTGCACTCCTCTATGTTTCTCCACCCCCCAATAAAGAGATCCCACAGACCCACTCCATGGTCCTGATGGCCTCTCCTGCCCTTCAGGATGTGTCCACCATCACCCTTCATCCAGTTTCCTCCATATCAGCTCCATGTTGTCGCTCTCATGATAGGACCACTGCAGCGTCTATCCCACGCTACCCCCAAAAAATCTGTCCATTCATGTGCCATCACCGCATCACTGAACTACCTCCTTTCCTGTTATTTCACATTTATCCATCCCTTTGGGAGAATTCTCCTTCCCTGACTGTTATCACTAATCCTTTATCTCCAGATGCAAATTTCCTCCCTCCCTGTCCACCTGGGCTTGACACTGATACCAGACCCCCCTGTCACACCAGGGAATTACGAGCTTGAATTACTCTTGAATCCAGGAGGCACCACACCTCCCTAAAAGAAAAATCAGCGCACAGCTTCAGGAAACCCTCCTGATGAACTCATAGCCTGGTGTGCTGCAAGGTGAGATACATGACTAAATTACCCAGTGCCTGTGCTGCTGTGCCTTGAATGATTTGTGCAGCTGGGGGTCTTCAAGGATTGATTTAAGCCAAGGAGGAGGCTGAGCGAGTGAAGGAGGAGTTGGAGATCACCTTGACACCAGGTGGGCATGAAATTCCCTTCTGCCACTGTCTCCCATATGTCACCAGATTTTCCCTTCCTTTTTCCCCGTTCTTCCTAGTCTCCCAGCAAGTCTTGCCACATCTTTAGAAACTTCCCAGTTTTTCTGCTCAGTGCCTCCCAACTCACAGGTCTTCTTCCCGGGGATCTGCAGCTGTCTTTGTTTGCTGAGCTTTACACTGGTGTCACGGTAGGTGCTGTAACACGGACCTCCTGCTCAGGCCACCGATGCTAGGACACCTTTCTCAGCCAGGGCTGTTCCTTCCTACCCAGGTGGGAAACTTGTTGAGGTTCTGGTGCCACACAGCAAGATCATTAAATCAATGGTTTGGGTTGGAAGGGACCTTAAAGTTTGTTGAGTGCCCCCCCCCTGCCATGGGCAGGGACACCTCCCACCAGCCCAGGTTGCTCAAAGCCTCATCCAGCCTGGCCTTGAACCCCTCCAGGGATGGGGCATCCACAGCTTCTCTGGGCAACCTGGGCCACTGCCTCACCAACCCCACAGGAAAACATTTCTTCTTAATACCTCATCTAAAGTACCAACTAAACTGTCCTGCAGAGCCCCAGCTGCCTTCGATGACTGTCATCTGATTTACAAAGTGAATCCCCTTTGCTATTAGCCCTTTAAAGCCTGCTTTAAGAAAACAAAAGCGGAAGAGAAGGAGCCTTCCTACAACACACACAGCGCTGACACCGTGCAGGGTGACAGCTCTGCTCCCAAGCCGATGCTCCTGTGTGTCTGCAGTGAGGACCTGCTGTAAATCGAGCGTGCACAGCTCTGGCGAGGGGGAAAATCCTCCTGAGCATCCAGCTCTTGCACGCGTGCAGAGGCACTCACCAAGCCACAATAACTGTGCTGCAGGGTGTCTTTTGCCTTCTTATTGTGCAGGGATTAAGGCTCGGCTGCCTTGATGAGCAAGCTGTCCTGATTGCTCCCAACCTCTCAGTATTCCCAGTTAAAATGGTTTTAAAGAGACGGGAAAGGCAATGAGAAAACAGTTCCCACTCCATCCTTTAAAACAAACTTAATTTGAACACCTAATTATGTGCAATACAGGCTCGTTTCTATTTTCTTTGCCAAGCTGCTTCTTGGTTTTTATCTCACAGGGTGCTCACCCTCATGGGAAGGGAGGCTTTGATTAGGAAGAAGGAAAAGATTTTGAGGGGGAAAAGAAATCATGACCAAATACCGAGATCAGCAGCACGTTGCTGTCTCTGCCACTCACCTGCTCGATGACCTTGGGCACGTTACAGCGACCTTTGGGGCTTTGGTTTCCCTGCTTTTAAAGGAGGAGGGGAAGCAATCCTTTCCCTCCTATGCATCGTGCTTGGAGACACAGGACTGCAAAGTGCTAAACTGGAGCAGTAAAACCGTTCCGGTACCCTAATGCCAGCTGCGGAGAAGTAGCAGAATCCACCCTTTTTTTCTTTTTCTTTTTTTTTTTTTTTTTCACCATCTTTTTGAGCACAGCTAATGAAAAGAAAGCCCCTGGCTGAGAGCAAGCAGCGACTGTGAAAGTGGTGCACCCAGATGCCAGAAACACACTGGAGTGCAGGAATTCAGTGACATGGTTGTTTGCAAATTAATGGCTAAATCAATTAAACGAAAGCATGGGATTTCTCTTGAGGAAACCTCTAGTCCCAGTCGCAAGGAGAAAGGGAGGGGTTGTGGAGCAGGGATGACATAATCACGTTTGCAAATCACCAGCAGTGTGCATGCTTTAATCCATTAATGGGGTTTTTATCTGTGATCATAAAAAAGCAGGTTACATTCAGCCTGGAAGGGTTGGAGGAGAGGGGAGGGGAGAGAAAGAGCAAGAGAGAGAGAGAGAGAGAGAGACGGAAAACGAGAGAGAAAGAGAGCACAATTCACTCGGTGAATTGCTTGCAAGCTTTGGGCTGATAATGAGGGATCTCAGGAGAGCAGTTTCTCAGAATAACCTGCTCTCCTTCGAATGGACCGAATGAAGCCAGTGGTTCAGTCCTGCTGATATTTTTTAAGCCCTCCTCGCAATTTGATGGGCATTTCCCAGTGCTTTTGTGCACGTCTCAGAAAGCGTTGACGTGGAAAGAAGCAGCGAAGAGGGGGAGGTTGGAGAAAAAAAAAACGAAAAAAAAAAAACAAACCAACTGCAGCTCTTCTAAAAATACGGAGGGCATGCAAGAGTGTGAGCAGGCTGGGGAGGAGGGCGAGGTGAACGCGCCTCGCACCATGCTCCCCGGGTGCCGGCGCGGCGCAGTTTCGGAGATGTCCCTCCTGTGACTGGACGCACCATGAGCATCTGGGAGGTGATTTTGGCTTTCGTGGTGGTGGTGCTGATGCTCGTGGCCCTGCTGGCCAACGTCTTGGTGCTGCTGTGCTTCCTATACAGCGCCGACATCCGCAAGCAGGTCCCGGGATTGTTCATTCTCAACCTCACCTTCTGTAACCTGTTGATGACTGTTTCCAACATGCCCTTGACCTTGGCTGGGATCATCTACAAGAGTCAGCCGGGAGGAGATCAGATCTGCCACATCGTGGGCTTTCTGGAGACTTTTCTCACCACCAACTCCATGTTGAGCATGGCAGCTTTGAGCATTGACAGGTGGATCGCTGTGGTCTTCCCTCTAAGTTATCACTCCAAAATGAGGTACAGGGATGCTGCTCTCATCCTGAGCTACACGTGGTTACACTCGGTGTCGTTTCCCATAGTGGCAGCTTCTCTCTCCTGGGTGGGTTTCCATCACCTCTATGCCTCCTGCACCCTGTACAACAAGAGACCGGAGGAGAGGACACAGTTTGTGATTTTCACTGGGGTCTTTCACACCCTCAGCTTCCTCCTCTCTCTCATAGTCCTGTGTTTCACGTATCTCAAAGTGCTGAAGGTGGCACGGTTTCACTGTAAGCGGATTGACGTGATCACAATGCAGACCCTGGTGCTGCTCGTGGACATCCATCCCAGGTAAGGTGTCTGGGTGCTCAGCCAGTGGGACTATTCGCTGCAGGGGATGCGAGGATGGGGTTCGGTGTTGTGTTAAATACGGTCTGATCTGTATCACAGCAGGGGATGGGGAGGGGGAGAAAACAAGCATCCTTCCTGGCATTTTTTATTCTGCATGGTCTTTTAATGTCTGCTTATTTTTCTGGTTGTAGAAGCAACTCTTTTTTTGTTATGCTTAAAGGCTTGTTTTGGGAGGGAGAGAAAAGAAACAGGCGGTTTGGGCTGAGCATGCCCTTCCCTTTGAGAGAGGGAGCGGATCACTGCCCTTTGTCTCAGAAGGTGGATTTAGCAGTCAACAGATTTGCATTTTTTTGGCACTGTCAATGCAAAACGCTGCTGGATCCCTGAGAGGCAGCTGGCTGAGGCTGCACATGTCCCTTCAGCCGGAGTTCCAAAGGGAAGCTGGGCGCTGCGTGCTGCTCCTTCGCCCGGCAGTTTCCCTATCGCTGTGCTCTCTGTAACTTTATCTTTCCCAAAGGGAAAGATTTGCTAGGGAATAACATCTGCAAAATGCATACTCTTGAAGTGCCTAGACTTAAATCCAAGCGAGGGAGACTGTCAGCAGCAGTGTTAATATGACAAGCAAGGGATGTATAAAGTTAATTTCAAATGAGAATCTTTAAGCACAGGAAGGGAAAAGTCTCTGGAGGCTGGGAGGATAGTGGGCTTGAAGGCAAGCATCGAATGGGTATGAATGTGTGCTGGGATGCTGTGCAAAAGAATCACATCAGGGATTATGCACAACCTACAAATCTTGCCTGAGTGGGCTATGTCTCGATCTGTGAGGGATGCAGATTTGGCTGGGGGGGGGGGGGGCGGGGGAAGAGGGTGAGGGGAACATAGTGGTAAAGCTGAAGGAGAGAAAGCTTTGCTGGATGGAAGCACAAGCAGAGAGGAGGAAACGGAGGGGAACAAAACAGGCAGGGCTGGGAGGATGTGGGACCGGGCTGGTGAGAAGAGAGCAGCAGGACGAGCCAGAGTGATGTGCCTGGGAAATGGGGATTTGGGAAATGAACGTGCATAGCTGAGGCAGGACAGAACGGGACAGGGTGGCTGGTGGATCAGCGTGTCCTGGTTGAGGGCTGAGAGGCTCCGATGAGCTGGGTCAGATGGGGCTGAGACCCAGCTATGGGTGGGATGGGATGTTAGAGTCAAGGAGTGAGCTTTGGAAAGGGTAAACTGGTCACAGAGTGGAAAGAAATCCCCCCAGTTTGCTCAGAGGAACTAGTTTGTTTTAGGGCTTAGCGTGGCTGAAGCAGGTGATTGGGAAGGAAAGGGTCTGATGTATCTGCCTGGAAAAAAAGGCAGAAAATGTTTTGGCTGGGTAGGATGACAGAGGGCTGTGAGGGATGTGTGTGCTGCTTGGGAGACAGTCAGAGACTGGATCTTAAGGTTCAGACTGTCTCTGTCAGAGACTGAAGGGAAGGGAAACGTCTTTCAGAAAAATGCTGGCAGCTGGCAGCACAGGGAGGTTTCTGATTTGGGAAGAAGTCTGCCTGGAAAAGAGGAAGGCTGAGATCAGCTGAAGAGGCCAGTCCCATTCCAGGCATCCCCCCTGCCACCCCTTGCTGTCCTTTGCTCCTCAAGCTGGAGGCAAAGACCAGCACTCTCTGTTTGCAGCCAGCCGGGAGCAGAGCTGCGGGACTGAAAGCACATGTGGCTGTCCTCAAAAAAAGGTCATATTTGGGGAATTCCTAAGCCTAAGGCAAATAAGTCTGAAAGGATCAGAGCAGGACAGCACACTGTTAGAGGAACAGATACAGTTGCTCAGAATTCTCCAGTTAAGCTGTTCAGTCTGTCTCTTGACCAAGAATGCGAAGTAGAACTTTGGGCAAGTCCCGTTACCGTTCTTGAGAAACACGCATATAAATCTTCCCTTATCCTCCAAGTCACACAGAGGGGGGAAAAAAAATCCCCACCCTTCTGCCCTACGTGCTGTCTGGTTGCTAAACTGTGCTTCGACTGGTCTTAGTTCCCGCACGCACCATGGGATGCAGTGGTTACTCCCAGGCAAGTGCTGGGGCTATAGGAAATAGCAATCGCTATGCCTAACCCTTCAAGTATGCCTGGACTGCACAGCAAAGCTCAGAAAAAGGGCAAAAATCTCAGTGGTATTTCTCCTCCTCTGTATTTTTTCTTGTCTAGGATAATTTGAAGGTATTCCTGCATTTTGTAATCATCTCAGAGAGGGGTGGATTCAACGGGGCTGTGGGATTGATACCTTCTTTTTTCGGAGGAGACAGAGTGCATAAGCACTTTGTGCGAGTAACCTGTATTTTATGTCTTGCTTCAGGTTATTCTAATGCTTCTCTCTAAGGAAAGATAGCTTCAGCTTTTTTTCTGGACCCATAGTGGTGCTGCCTTAACTGGTGACAGCTACGACTGCGGAAAGGGTCATTGCCTCCCCTGCCGTGAGAGCCACACAAAGGCTGCAGGTCTCCTGGAGCATCCAGTGACATTCATACAGCTCTGACATAGCAAAAGCATAATTTGAATTATATAAGTGGCATATAGACAGGCAAATTCTGTGTTTGATATTGTCCCTCACAGCACAGGCATGGATGCTGGGAGATGACACATGAGAGAACAAAGTTTGTAATCACACCTTAGATCACCCTGGCTCTTCTGGCTTTTTGCACGGTTTAGTTTCAACACTGAGAAATGTGTACGGACAATTTGCCGCTTCCTCTGACTCAGAATCCGCCCGCGAGGGGGTCTAGCGACAGGCGTTCTGACAGATGGCTTTATTACCTGTGACTGGGAAAGACACGAGTGATCTCCTGAAGATCATTCAAGACAAGTACAAAAGGAAACCTCGACATCCCACACAAAATCGTGTGAGTGTTTAGGGCACACGTCCTTCCAAGTTAGCTTAGGCATTTTTACTGGATACTGCTTTTTCTTGACTTTGTTCTTAAGACCAAGATATCTTAGGTATTGTGAAAGGTTTGGGCAAGACCTCACATAACTGCTTAACCCATATGTTTCTTAACCCAAATTATCTATACTATCTTTTTGGTGTATCCAGCTTTACAGATCTTAAGGTCCAGTATCTCATAAACTTTGTTTAAAATACCAAATCTTCAAAGGGATATATCGCAGATTTTCCAGGATATTAATATCTTTAAATGAAAGCTTAGTCAGGAATCCAGTTCTATTGCTGGTGTCACTACTGAAACTTGCATATATATTCTTATCTTAGTGCATAACAGTCTGTGCAAAAGCAAAATACCCATGTGTGTACATTGTCTATAGGAAGGAATGAGATAAAATACCTTCCTCTATGATGTGGTATTTATTAGCTGCATCTGGAAAGGCTGAAAAAAAATAAATTGGTTGAAGTCTATCAGGACTATCTATCAGGACTTCCCAAGTCCTGTGTGAGCTCCACGAGGCAAAAGACAGCTTTGTATGTGCCAGTGGGGAAAAGATATAACTGGGGAAACTGTTAGAGGCAAAAATACAATACCCTTTACACATCCTATAACATCACAACCTACTTTGAGATTTCTTTTCCTGTGTTGCCTTGTGCCTGGGATACCAGGAATTTAATAGCACAGGTCTTAAGCAAAGCTCTCGAACCTCTAAGATCATCCATCTGCACCTAAAAATACTCCACGTTCTCCAGCTCTTGCAGAACTGAAAGCACATAGGTTCCCCTGAAAGGTGGATTTTTTTTTTTCCTTCTCAGCTGTCATTTCTTGCTGCAAATAACTCATAGAACATGTAACACTTTTTGATGTGTTTTCATTGTACATAACCATATTCTTTAAGAGAGAGACGATTTGTTATTTCAAGCAGAAAAACCTTTTCCTCCAGTATTTTGTTCATTTTGCCATCATGGCAGCTGCTCTGGGGACCGGCAGTGTAAGACCAGATAGAAAATGGATAAAAGGAAACACGTTCTCTTTAACACAACCCAAAGGCAACGTAAGAACTCACTGCCACAGGGAAACACACTGAGATCCTCAGGAGATAATATTAATTTAGATGACGATTAAAAATTTGTAGGTACAGCAAAAAACATAAGGGTATGGCGATAAACCTTGCAGCTACTAACATATATGAATGTGGAAAGTGACAGTGCATCACCAGTAACAAATTTACAGTGAAAACAGAAATACCAATCAGTTACAAAATTCAGCACATGGGCCAGACCCGAGACGTGTGATTGCTTTACCACAGGACCTGTGCAATGAGTAAATACGTAGCAGCCTAGAGAGGGATTTCAGGATGCAGCCTGGCTTTGGTTTTGCTCTTTCCTAAAGGGTCTAATTTGATTTTGCCCTTTCTCAAAGAGTCCAGTTCAGGTACAGATGGCTCTGGGTCTCTGGGAAATACAAACAGTGCTGCCCATCCAACCCACCTGCCTGGAGAAGACAGTAACTTGTCCACTTCCCTTGGCCAGCACAGGAGTTACACAAGCGGGTGGAGAAGGAGGATGGGTTTTCACATTATCACTCTTTAGGCAAGCAAATGTGCTGACCTCAAAGGGGATTTCCTGCAATGGCAGCGTGGTCTCAGCCCCGTGCTCTCATCACCTTGCTGGGACACCAAGGGTCTGAGCAGCTCTCTGGCTGGCTGCTAAGACCACCACTGGGACACTCAAAAGAGAAGCTCTTGTCCTAAAATACCAAAGGTAGGAAAAAACCCCAGGTGTGACTAATTTATACCTATGTAGTTGGAAACAAGGCTAGTTTGAGGCCAGGAGTCAAAATATCACAGGGCTGAGGATTTATTACACAATTCCTGGCTTTGCAGAGCATTCAGCAGGGCGGCCGTGCAGAGCTGCACAAGCTGTCGAAAGATTTATGAGCACATGGTACACAGCCACGGGATACAGTGATTGCTCCAACATTGGTCTGAATGTTCAGAGCATGGTTTTTTTTCCCCATTATGATTTTACTGTGTTTTATTGCTTATCTTCCTGGGAAGTTTCTCCAAATGTAGCAGTGTTGGAATTACCGTTTCTAGGGAAGTAGCATGCTGATGACCTCACTCGGGATATTTTCCAAATTTCTGAATATCCTAAGGTATACCCTGACCTGCAAATACAGCTTATGGTAATTCCAAAAGGAGCTGCAACTGAATTCAAGGCTGAATTCCACCAATTTGACCATATATAAATTGATATAATGGGGACGTGTGCATATAAATATATAATCCTGTATTTCTCAGTAACTGTTTTTGGAAGATAAAATGATCATACAATGCATTAATTATTGTCCCATTTAAGTGCAGCACACCTGGTATTGGCTTGTGTGAATACAACAGTTACTGGAAAGATTGATTTCCATCATTCCATCAGTAAAGCCGTTAAAATCTGCTACCTGCTATTATGATTCATGTTCTTGTTTGTGTTGAATGTCACACAGCGTAAGAGAACGTTGTCTAGAAGAGCAAAGGAGACGGCGGCAGCGAGCAACCAAGAAAATCAGTACCTTTATTGGTACTTTTGTACTTTGTTTTGCACCTTACGTAATTACAAGGTAAGTGTGATCCTACATCCTGGAAAAGACTACTCAGATGCTCTTTAAACTAGGAGAAGTAGGGCGCTGTTATCCAGAAAATGATTCAAGTCTCCTGTGAAAATTTTGTGCACTGTTTCCACTTCTACGATGGAGATTGCATGTACTGAGCTAGCAAAAAAAATGTCATAGTGCTTACCCGATACAATCCTGATGAATCTGGGAGGCAAACTTTGGTCAGTCAACCCAGTCAAGATGCTGGTCTCATGGGAGTGATTTAGGAAGTCAGTCCACAGGACTTTGCAGAATTTTTACAGGTGAAGAAGTGACTTACTCCTCAGATTGCCTCCCTGGTGATTTGCAGGGCAAGACACTTGTCTGGACAGGTCAGGCTGTAAAAATCCAGTCAACAAGATCCAGCTGAGGTGAGAGCATGGTCCACAGACTTAAATGGTAGTTTTGGCTGACTAGATAGAGTTTATTAGTCATAAACATCAAATATCAAAGTTGTTCTGGCTCATAGCTAAAAAATATATTCTTGTGATTTATGGTCAGATGTCTATCTGTCTACCAGCTTATCTTTGGAAATAGCTCCTGTGGGAAACACAAAATTACTCCTACAAAACATAAAGTATTAGAAAGTGAGAATATCCAGAAAAATGTTATCTAGTTGTTGGATAAAATTTACAACTTACATTCCTTATTAAAAAAACTCTGGAAAAACTGAAATGCTTCTGCAGAGAACAGAGAAAGAAAAAAATATTTTTAAAGTATCACCTACTATAATACTATCAAAAGGAAATTTTGGGGACTTACTTCAGTCAAACTCACATCCTTCAGAAAAAAATCATTGAAAATCTGAACCAGTATGAGCATGTAGCCAACTTTTCCAATTCAGTACAATAGCCTAAATTTCTACGTTTAACAAAACAATTCACAAGAAGGTCTTGGAGTCTCTTAGTAGAAATGGAAGCCTGCATTTCACATTGATTTTATGTTTGTGACAATAATAGCTAATTGATT